CACCCAATAATGATGATGGAAATAATAATGGAGATAACCAGAAAACTGTTCATGAAGAGATCATAAATAATTAAATAAATAAGTAAATATATAGATAAATAAGTAAATAAATATATAATTATAAGTAATTATAAATGAACATATAAATAATTATTTCTTATGTCTCACTGCTTCTTTTATTAAATAAATATTTCTATTTTGTAAACAATGGGATAAATAAATGTACAAATAGAATAACTCCATATGTGAAATTATTCATTTTTTCTTTCTTTCTCTTCTCTTCTTTATGGTATTTCATCATTACATTTGTTTGTACAACACGATATTATCGCGCCTATATCAAGCTTCACTTTGCACTTACTTGTTTGAATCATTAAGTCAAAACAATTATATTTTATCATATATTCAATTTTTTAAACTTAGCCGTCCAATTTTTGTATAACATTACCGGTTTTTTTTAACAGTCAATTGTATTCACATTGAGAATGTGCCGATCGAGGTCAAAACGTTTGTGCTTTAATTTATGTAAAGATTTATTATTTAGTATTTAGCAACAAACATGCTACTTGGTTCATAGCCCTTTATCTATTATTTATTTTAATTTAAAATTATTTGAGTCCAATTTTATCTTGTAATATGTATTTCATATAATTGTAAATATTGAAAATATAAATTCTATATACTATAATTAGAAAAATTTTATTTTTCAATAATTTGCTAATATTACGTAGTAGAAATATAAAATATTTATACAATTTGTGAAGAACAAACATTAGAGTTTGAATTTTTTACAGACAATTAATCCATTAATTGTAAATTATCAAGTTTCTCACTAGAATAAAATCCTGCTTTGACCGTTCTACCACCGAAGAAACGTCCATTTAAATCAACTACGGCCTTAATAGCGCTCTCTATTCTCTTGAATTCAACAAAAATTCGTACTGCTTCCTCTGGTAAAGCTTCAATCACTTCATGAATAATGACACGTGCAACATCGCCATATTTAGTGTTGCATTCGTCTTTCACTTCCGGTTCAAGATCGTTATCAACCTCTCCAGGACCAACCATGTTGCGCAAGAGAACAACCTAAAATGATAGATGTAATTTAGATTATAAATATATTTTAAACTATGTAAGGTATACAAAATTATAAAAGACATATTTAAACATAACACATTTACATAAATTAATGATAAAAATGTATTAATAATAAATAATTAATAGTAATAGTTTTTTAACATGCAAATGATTATTATATATATATATTTATATGTATATTATATTTTGTG